AAAATTTAATTAAATCTGACACCTGTGATCAACATCAGATTTATTATTGGGAAGGAAAACCCTCCCTATTTATTTATTCTTGTGAACTACTGGTAGACATGCATTATTAAAAAAATTTATTTTGGTATTATTACTACTTGGGTGATGCAATTGTTTGTTATATCAATGGCAACATCAAATGTATTGAATAATTATCATGAATATTTAATGGATGCAGATATTCACAAAAGGAAAGGATTAAATAACAACAAAAAAGCTAAGTTTGTTTTTTATCAACCAAAATATATAATTAATTAGATTTAAAGATTATTATCTTATTCTACTTTTGAACGGCATTAGCTTCGATAATTCTAGAATTGTTCGTTTCCTTAGCATTAATTATTGAATCTCATCTGGTGTTGATTAATTAGTTTTATGGACTCAAGTAATGGTAATATGTTTTTTTTTAATATTTTATATATATATTTAGAAATATAATAATTAAATTAAAAGGTATTCCTTTTTCCAAAGGTTAATGGTTGAACGAAATCAAAAAGAATTGTTATGTGACCATATATTCTTGTAAGATCTGGCAGTGTACGATCAGAAGTTATCAAACCTTAGATATCATCATAGAAACTAAAGCTCCGAACGGACGGGCTAACCCGAAAGCCATGATCAACGGATTACGAGCAAAGTCTATTTCGTAACAAAATAATTTGTTGTCCCGCATCAGTGAAAAGTCTTTCCGAAGAAACTGATGAAGAAGGAATTGCCAAATATTTTTGGCTAAAATAGTAAATATTGGGGGGGTTTTTTTTTCATTATCACACAATTATTATATTTAGAATATTAATATTAATATTATTATGTATATTAGTGTACGGATTTGTAAAATTAAAATTGTTTCAAATAATACTATTATTATTTATTACTACTGCTGTTATTGTTGTTATTATTAGCGCTATTATTATGTTTATAACGTTTAGAATGAAATAATGTATATTAGTATGTATATTATGTATGGGTTTGTTCGTTAGGTTATGATATTTAAAAACCAAAGACTTCTAAAATTGAAATTAAAATTAAAGTAAATATTATTATACTATATATTATTATTATAATTTATTACTACTACCATTGTTATTATTGTTATTATATTATTTGCTTATTTATTAATTTATTTATTTCTCCCTCATATACTTGATTTTTTTTCGATTTTTCAACTGATCACTTAAATATTAATATTAATCAATTGCAGAAAAATCGATTTTTTTATACAGCCAAAGCTCGTTATAGTGGATTTTGCCTATAGTGTATATACTTTTTTATTTCCCCAATCCTCTTTATAATAAAATTTGTTCGTTATAGTGGAAATCGTGGTTTTATGGCAATCTTTTACATTAATGGTTAATGTTAATGTGGTTTCTAATAATGCACAAATAATTTTAACACATTCTATTCTTGATTAATTTTTTTAACAATAAATTAATCCTCCTTTTTTTTTACTGATGAAAAAATTACTAGAGCAGTGAACCAAATCGTGAGGTTGATGACTCTGACGAAGAGGAAGAAGTGGAAATGATGGTTATAAAGAGGCATTGAATAATTTAGAAAAAGTGATTCAATATTTAAAAAATCCACCGGATAATTTTACAATTAGCTATCAAGAATCAAAAATGATAAATAGTTTAAAATCAAAATTCATAAACGTGTTCGGATAATCCAAAACAACTTATGTTAGACAGTTTTATTTTATAATTATTTACTACGTACACATGTGTTGTATATGAATTTATTTATGTTGTTAATAAAAAATTGATTATCGTATTTTTTTTTAAGTAATCAACAAACAATACATTACTAACAAATTTACATTCCTCCAATTAAAAAAAGGCCAAGACAAAATAAGCAAACTCCACATTTAAAACAAATCAAATAACAAATTGAATAAAAATTTAGAATATGCATCAAGTGAAGAAAACTCAAAGAAATTGATTATATGAATAATTTGAATTATTTCATTTTATTAGTTTTATTAGTATTTGTTTATTCAAATTATTCATTTTATTTGAATTATGTATTTGTTTTATTTCATTTATTCAAGTAAAAATACCAAAGGCAATTGTGCAGGAACTTTTCTTCGGGTTTTTATAACCGAAGTTATTATTAAGTTATAAATTAACAGGTAATAAATTAAAAAATTTAGGATTTAGAACTTCCTTTATCCTACCTAGTGTTCCTAACCGAAAATCAAATTTTTACTCGGAAATCAATTTATTCAAGAATATTTGAATATATATAATTTATTTTGTAATTATTTTGAATACTCGTGATTATTTTGGATACTTGTATTTATTTTGAATATAATCATTTCAAACATTTGTTACGATAATATTGTAACAATTCAATGATTATCGATTGATAAAAAATAGTACTTATTTGTAACTTATCCTACTATTTTTCAAAGATAATAAAGATAACAATATTTTTACAACTATTAAAATATTTGTTCAGAAAGAAACATTTTCATTTAAAAAGTAATTCTTTCAAAACCTAAATGGAATCTGTAGAAAAAATTTCCTAATACTTCAATTATATAAATCATTTTTAAAATGTCATAATATTCTTATACCTGATAAAAATGATGGTAATTTTTTTGATTTGTATGATGATATAATTTATCAATAATTTTTTGATATAGCTTGAATGAACAATCAATTATCTATATGCAAAAAACACATATACCGAAAACAAACATATATAATAATAAAGAATATATTAGACTGTCCCAAAAGTTTTGAGGGTACTTGCTAGCAATTGCTAGTGATTGCAAAGTAATTACTAGACTGTCTTGAAAGTTTTGAAGGTGCTTGCTAGCAAAGTTACAAATTTGTATTTATTGTTTGAAAATTAAAAGAGATCAACAGTTGATTTTCAAATTTAGAAAAAAAGAGATATATTACAGCAATTAGATCATTCTTTTTTTTTAATAATTATTTTGCAAATTTTTTAATGTTTTTTTTTTTTAATTTTTTTGTTTTTATTATTACTTTCATTGCAATACTTAGCTTCTAATTGATCAAGAAATGAACTTGATCGTTTTTCATACTTTTTAATTATAAGTTGTTGAAGTTCATCCTCACCTTCTTTAGTACCTAATAAATTTTGATTTAAACCTAATTCTTTTGCGTATTTCTTTGCTTCTTTAGCTTCTTTGTTAGCCTCCTTCTTACGTCTTTTTGTTGCGGTCTTGTTGGTTGATTCAGTAAATTTTTCATATAGTATAATTTCATTGGAAGCTACTGCTTCTTTAATAATATTACAAAAACGTGGTTCATCATCTATAGTTGCGCATAACACATCACTCATGATTAAAGAACCTTCTCTGGTTTGGGGAAGATTAGTGAAAACATCGTTGACTATTGGTCGATGAACAGAACTCTGTTTGCATCGTTCTATCTCTTTGAGAGTATCTCGGTCAGATTAGCCTTGTGTAAATGAGGAACGTGAGAATGACTGTAGTGTCCAAGACAGTGTGCGTACTTTAACGCCTGGGTAAGATATGTCGGGGATAAGATATGACAAGGTTAAGGTATGACCCTAAGCTCATACCTTAACCCTCACATATCTTACCTTCGACATATTTGGTAGTCAAACCTTGTCCTTGTATCTTAAACCTGATATATCTTACCCTCGACATATCTGGTAATCAAACCTTGTCCTTGTATACTCAAAATGTTTCTTTTTCAACAGTGTGCTGCCTTGACGTGTAATTATATATTTATAATAATATTAATATTGCTACTGATTACGAAAAGCAAATACCAATTATTTACCATCTTGATGAGGATCTTATAATTACCTAGCAAGATCTGCTCCGCGTTTTGATTTCAATTAAAATATTTACAAATTAAAAAAAGTACCTCTGGTCAATTATTAACGCGTTTTCAGGCAAAAAAAAAAAACGACAGAAATTTGTTATGTAGATCTGGGATATAAAACTTATCATTATTACTATATAGTTAATTAATTTTATGAAATAAACTAAATAACTGAACATTTACATAATGATAAACATGATCACGGAGATTTTATTTAACTTTTCCAAGAATGATCGTCGAATAGGCAAAGATGGGTGGTGGTGGTAGTACAATTGTATTTATTTGTGACTTACCTTGTCTGGTTTTGTTGCATTATCACTATGAGAGTGGGCTATCCATTAATCATTTAGAAGCCACACAACACTGCCACACTAATCAACATTATAAAATATCAAAATAAAAATCTCTTTTTACAAATAATTAAATAAATTTTTTCTTTCAAAATTATAAACAATGTCAACGCCATCAACAACTACAACACAAGCAGCAGAACCAGCAACAAAAGAAGCAGAACCATTAACAAAAACAACAGTAGTGACAAAAAAAACACTTACACCCGAGGAAAAATATGAATTAATCACAAGAAATCTTCAAGAAGTTTTGGGGGAAGAAGAAATTTTAAAAATTCTCAAGGAAAGAGATTTAAAACTTTACTGGGGTACAGCACCGACTGGTAAACCGCATATTGGATATTTTGTACCAATGTCAAAAATTGCAGATTTTTTAACAGCTGGTGTTGAGGTTTGTCATATTCTTTTTTTTCATATTTTAATTAAAAAAAATTAGAATTTTTAAATTTATTATTTTATTTAATGATTGGAAAGATAGGTTACGATTTTATTGGCTGATATTCATGCTTTTCTTGATAATATGAAAGCACCATTAGAACTTGTAAAATTCCGAACCAAATATTATGAGGTGCTTATTAAAACCACTCTTGAATCAATTGGGGTACCAATTGAAAAACTGAAATTTGTAATCGGGTCAGATTATCAGTTGACACCCAAATACAGCATGGATAATTATAAACTTTGTGCAATAGTTACAGAACACGATGCAAAAAAAGCAGGTGCAGAAGTGGTTAAACAAGTAGAGTCAGCTTGTTTATCGGGTTTACTTTATCCAGGATTGCAAGCACTAGACGAAGAATATTTAGAGGTTGATGCACAATTTGGAGGTGTCGATCAGAGAAAAATATTTGTTTTTGCCGAGAAACATTTACCGCATCTTGGATATAAGAAAAGAATACATTTAATGAATCCGATGGTTCCTGGCTTGGCAGGATCCAAAATGTCATCATCAGATCCAGATTCCAAGATTGATTTACTTGATGATTTAAAAACTATTACTCGTAAAATGAAGAAAGCATTTTGTGAAGAAGGCAATATTACAGAGAATGGACCTTTATCATTTGTAAAATCAGTTTTATTTCCATTGTATTCGCTCAACTTCAAAACACCACAATTTACAATCAAAAGACCAGAAAAATATGGTGGAGATGTTAACTATGAAGATTATCAATCTTTGGAAAATGACTTTCGTGATAAAAAAGTCCATCCTGGAGATTTAAAAGCATCAATTACACAAAATATTAATGCAATATTGGAACCTATTAGAAAGAAATGGGAGAGCGATCCTGAACTTCAAGAATTGGTTAAAAAAGCATATCCAGAGCCAGCCCCAAAAACTGTAAATAAGAAAAAAACAAAAAGTAATAATAGTAATAGCCAAAGTTCTACTTAATAAAATCCTACTAATGTATTTTATTTATTTCAACTTGAATATTATCAAATAGAAATTTAAAAACTAAAATATCTATCTAATTTCTATATTTATATACGTATGTAAATACATTTATAATAATAATAAATTATTTATTATTACGGAGCAATCACTTACACTTATTTAATTCAAAAATATCACACTACATATGTTTAGGGACATGCCATATATTAACAGAGATCCATTTACTATAGTAATATGCATGTGAGATTGTGATCAAACAGAAACTTTCTCAAAATAATCAATATACATGTAATTTAAATTCAATAGTTGATCCTGAACTGGAGTCCTTGTTTGACCAAATCTTAATTAGCCATAAAACTCATCTATCATTTTAATTCTTTTAATTCAATGGATGATGAGACACAATAAATATTCGCACCTTCTTTTGATCCAGTGGACTTGAGAATGCTGACAATAAAATATTTTTCCAGTGTACGAGTTGGGTTGAGTTGGGTTGAGTTGAGTTATTATAAATAAATAAATAAATAAATAACAAAAAAACACAGAAAATAAATAAACGTAGCTAGCTTCTTTGAATGTTTCATTACTTTGTCGGCATTAAGTTTTGTAATGGTTATAGTTTTTGGTGGCAAAAAAAAGGCTCTGAGAGTGAGTACTCGGTGAATTTCTATTTAACGGATCGAGACTTGGAATGGTGGTAATAATAATATATAATAATAGTAAACTCTCTCGGTATAATAGAATACTATCTAGTGTCGCACAAATGGTACCAAGTGTAAAAATAAGCATCATCCTAAAGCACTTGCACTACACTTGATTTCAATTTTAAAAGCATAATAAAAATATCTGCGTACAGGAATAATTTCTTTATTAATAATAATACCATCAGCCAATTGTTTAATGTTTAATGATATCCCCAGGAAGTATATTTTTTTGCTTCATGGGAATGACTTAGTTTTTTAAAGTGAGTGTACGGTATTAGCGTATTATTTTTATTATACTTGTAATTCAAGCAAGTATGTCGAGAAAATATTCTGAATTTATTTTTTATAAATGCACATTCTTTAAAAGTTCCTGTAAAAAGCATTAATAATACTCGTAAATGGTTGTTATTGTAAATTGGTCCGCGCATTCATTCTTGTAATTAAAAACAATCATCCTTGGAACCAGATGATATATATGTTTTAGTATAAATGCTAACTAAATCTTTGTTTGCCATCAAGTTCCCCAAAAAAGTAACGGGCTTTCCCGGAGGCATGAATGCGATCGGACATACATAAATAAATAATATTCCAATATCATTGTAATTCAAAATCAAAACAAAACTTTATCACATATTTATAACTAACAAACATTCGATGCTACATTGGACACCGGGTCTTCAAATCTCTGGATCATCAAATATGGCGGAGCATTTTTATTTCTGGTGCCACTTCAAAAGACAACGTCACAAACAAATGTTTGGACTTGCAATTGTAGTATCGTCCAATCTGATAAAATATCCTTTGATGGAATTTTAGGAATGGGCTTCGACAATTCAATCACTATGGATAATGATGCTGCAATGTTAAATACCGTGCTAGAGACGTTAACGGACTTGTTTATTTTAGGCGATGTTGATAATTTCAAATTTGGCAAGTAGATTAATAATGGTTGTTTAACGATAAGACACTTTCTTTCATTAGAAAAGCATTTGCATTAGTTGACAAAGATAAAAATTTTCTATTTTGTAACAATGATTTCAAGTTTTAATTTGATAGACATAATCAATGGTACCTCCTGGTTTTAACGCTAGATTGTCCTGATACTTTGAAACATTTTTTTCTTTGGCATTAAACAAATCAAGTAAGTGCGTAATTAAAAAATTTATTTCGTAATATTAGTATAAACTTTTTTCCCCATTTCCCTTACATTATTTAAACACACACGCACGCATAATACATGTATTAATAATAATTAATAATCATTATTATTATCCTCCTTACACATTCTTTTGTAAATTGTATTGTCTGCATAATATTTTGTTATTTTCCAAGGGAAAATAAAAGAGAAAATGGACACCGAAAGTTACAACAATACACAATCACAATCCTTCAATTACAACCCGTTGTTTTATTATTATAGACAAAACAAAGATCATTATAATCGACATTATTCCTATTACCCAAATTACAATAACTTTACTAATATTAATACCACTAATAATATTATTAATTCAATTTATGGATCATTATACGATATCAATAGAAATAGAAACAATTACAATTCAATAATATTTAATAATAATAATAATAATAATAATAATTATAATATTAATAATACTAATAATAATAATAATAATAATAACAATAATAATAATAATAATAATAATAATAATAAAAATTACTATAATTACTATAACAAGGATAACAATAACAGTTATTATAATGGTTATAATAAGGGTTACAATAACAGCTATTATACTGATTATAATAAGAATTACAATAACGCTGGCGGCATTAAATATCTCGACACTGCCTATTCACATAATAATCGTAGTTCGCGTAATATAACTACCGATAACATCGCATATTCACGTAATATCAAAAAAGATAATAATAAGATCACTCCTAAAACATCTAACAATGGTGGTGGTGATAATTGCGAGGCAACTACTAAACAATACACATCGAATAATCTAAACATATCACGTGATCACACCAATTCTGAAGGTGGTAAATTGACTCGTAAATACTGTCATAATAAACTGCTTAAAGATGACGCATCATTTGATCAATATGCTGGGTCTGTTGATAAGTATGGATTTGAACTTAGTAAAGACGAGACAATAAACTCAAAATCACTTGATGTAGATAGAAGGTAAAGACCAAAATTGGTTTCTATATAGTGAGTGATATTATTCTATTAATTCTCAATTTTGAATTATTATTTTCATTATCATTATTTGTGAAATAGAGCAGAAAAAAAGGAAATCAAAGAATCACAAAAATGGGCAAGTTTGCTTTCAAAACGTAAAAGAGTCTCTAAATTAGGAAGATATGGTGAAACCTTTTATCAATTTGTATGGGACAAAAAATTTGTGAAAAGAGTTTATAAAGGTATACCTAATCCTTGGAGAAATAAAGTTTGGTAAGTTAATAATAATTGATTTCACAAAAAATATTTATTACATGTGTGTATATATTATATTTAAATGTTGGTTCATATTGTTATTTTAGGAATTTTATGTTGACAACTGAAAAAGATGAAGCAGAATATGATGAATCTTCTTTGATATATACCTACAAAGTAAGTTATTAATTAATTGTTATTTGAATGATATTTCTTTTTTCTGATTAATCAATTGATTAATTATCTCTCTCTTTCTTTAAAAAAAAGTCATTATTAAATTTACCATCAATTCATGAAAATAACATAGACTTAAATGTATCTGTAACATTACAATCACACATAATGTTTAAATCAAGATATGGGCCTGGGTAATTAATTATGATGATTATTTCACATGTCTCATCTAATATTATAATCATAAATATTTAATTTTATTTAATCATTTTTTTTCTGCAATAAATAAAAATTAGGCAAAGATCAATGTTTAATGTATTGAGAGCTTTCTCAAACTATAATGAAGAAGTTGGTTTTTCTCAAGGAATGGCTAATGTTGTAGCAATTTTATTAATGTATTACCCTGAGGAGGTAATTAATTAATCAATCGTTTGTTTGACAAGTTGGCTAAAAATTTTTTTTTTTTCATTTACAAATATTGTTTTGTTGTTATTTTGTAGGATGCCTTTATAATGTTGACAAAATTATTTTCAAAGTGTGATTTACATAATCTTTATGTGCCTGGTTCCCCTTCCTTGATGGAAGGTTTATATATCCAAGAAAAATTAATGAAATTATATGCACCAAAATTAACAGATCATTTTGTATGAATATAATATATTTTTTCATAATATCATATTATATAGTTTATTTCTATTCTGATTACTTATTCTCCTTATTTACTCTCTCCTTGGATATCTATATATTAAAAAATTAGGAAAAATTGAATATAACTAGTGCATCATATTCAACTAAATGGTATTTAACATTGTTTTCAACAAATGTTGTTGCTCATAGCATCCTTTTGCGATTTTGGGATTTAATTATGATGAATGGATTTGATATATTATATTATATTGCTATTGCTTTAGTAATATATAATCAACGTAAGTGTAATTAATTTATTATTATTATAATCAATTGGATTTTTCTATTAACTTACATTTATATCTTCTCATTCTTTCTTTTTTTTTTTGCCATATTATTTGCAGCCAAATTATTAAAATCAAATTTTGATGATTCAATGGAAATCTTATCATCAAAAATGGAAATAAAAAACGAAAAACTTTTATTTAAAACAATTAAAAATTTGTATAAAGGAAGAAAAAATGAAATTAAAAAATATAAAGATGAATATAAAAATTTACAACAACAGTTTAATGCACATTAAACTGGCCATTTTTCTTTGTGTAAACAGGGTAAATTTACACCAAGATTTTGTAATTTAAAAAAGGATAGGTTTTAGGATTAACTGGATTAATTTTTTATATTAATATTAAAAATGTATATTAGATGGTTCAAAAATTTTTTTCTTTAAATAATAATAAAATAAATTATAACTTTTGAAGAATCAATTCATTTCTTAACCGGCAAGGTCCTCATATTGATCGCCGTATTATGTAACAAAAGCAATGTCACGTTCATTCACATGAAACAAATGTGGTGTAATCAACAAACTATATTAATATACCAATATAAAAATTTTTCAATGCATTTCATTTAATTTCAAACAATGTCTAAAGAAAAGTTAACGGGAGATTGTTTAAGAATTGTATTAAAAGAACTAGAAGAAGACAAAGATACTTTATATTCATGCTTACTAGTTAATAAATTATGGTGTGAACTAACTGTAGAAGTATTATGGAGTCAACCTTTTCGTATAACCAGGTCTTCACCTTCCTCAAAACTAATAGAAATCTACATGAGATTTCTTTCGGCTGAACAAATACAGAAAATTAAACAAGAAACAGGAACATTATTAATAAACGAAGAAGAATACAATGACGATTATGATTATTTCGGAGCTACCGTTTTTCTACCAATGTTTGATTATCCAATATTTCTAAAAAATTTATCATACCTTGATTTATACATTTCAGTATCAAAATGGTTTAATCTATATGATAAATGGTGCGAAGTTTATAGGGAAAGGGTGGCGATTCTATCAAGGGTTTTATTGGAAATGTTTATGCTGAAATCAAATTCTTTGGTTAAGCTGTCGATTGAAACAGGTGACATGTTTATGGTAAAGAATAATCATTTGAATGTGTTTGGTTTACCAGGGTCAGATGAGTGCCTGGCAAAATTAAAACAATTCACTTGTATCGGAGATTTTTTAAAATATGAAATATTTTTGAGCGCATCGAAAACATCTAGAAATATTAAAACACTATACATTAGTCCGGGTCGTGTGGGTGCTTTGCACGAACATAATGTACCTCAAAGACAAATTGATAATTTAATTGAACTAATAAAAGTTCAGAAAAATCTAGAACATTTAGCATTACATAGTTGTAATCAACCAAATAGATTAGTTGGTTCGCTGATGTGTTTATTGGATCAACAAATTCATTCTTTAAGACATTTAGAATTTATCTTGTTCAGCTTCAACATTAGCAATGGCAACAACAATGACATAATTGATTTCACACCTTTAACTGGATTAAAAAATTTAGAAACTTTAACTTTCGAAAGTTGTAAAGGAATCAAAAACTTGATGGAAGTATTTTCTAGTAGAAATGAATTAAAAAATCTAAAAAAATTAAGTTTCAAAAACACAATCATGAAGGATAATGTGTTGGCTGAATTTATAGAAAATTCAAAATCATTATCAACGCTTCATATAGGACCAATTGAAATCAACGATCCAACAGATCCAATTAATATATTTGATGTTATATCAAACAATACTAATTTATTAGATTTTTCCATTAACATAAACAATAACAATGATATGAATCAATTAATTGATTTATTAAAATTAACAGTAAATTTGAATATTTTAGAAATATATGGTGAAATTCTAGACACATGTAGATCCAATTCCTTATTTTTTGAAAATCTACCGGAGTCATTAGAACATCTCATAATTCACGCCGATTGGTGTTTTTCATCATATGATTTACTATTAGGTTTAAAGGGATGCAGAGCAAAATTAAAGACATTTAAAATTCCAGATTCTTATTGCTTAAACGATTCACATTTATTTGTTATAGCAGCTTGTTTAGGTGAATCGTTGAAATATCTGGATATCAGTTATGCATCTCCTTCTCAGATAACGGGAGAAGGTCTGTCCAAAGTAAGATCTGTGATTGAGAGAGTTGATTACCGTTATAAAAAAGATCGTAAATATTCCGATTTTTGGAATTTAAGATTTTGGGGGGAAAATTGGGTCGAGGAACCAATTATTGGTGATTTTTTAGAACAGGATTGAAATATTTTATTATATAAGATAGAGAGAAAGTAAAACATATTTTTAATCATGTATATAAAATAATAGATATTAAATATATAATTACAATAATTCTTATAATTATTATTTTCAAAGATGTAATATATATATACACACATATATATATTATATAATCATGACGAATAAATAACATCTATTTTTAAATTAATGCATTTATATCAAAATTGAACGTTTATTTAAATGATATGTTGGCCTATTTTTCTGAATTAGGGTCCCAAGATCTTTTTGTCAATTCAGCATAAAATTTAAGAATATCTTCTGTGGGTTGAAGCCTTCCCCCTTTTAAAATATCTAATGATTATATGGTCTATTGTATAAAGAGTAGTATGCTCCCGTATTATCATTTCAAAACTGTGAATGGGGGGTTTTTTTTGATAATTAAAATCATTGCATATATATATATATGTGATAATTTTATTAATAAAGAACACTTCGCCTTTAAAAAACCAAGTAAACACAACTTGCATACTATGCAAAACTTGTTTTATGGATCAGAATTAACTTGGGAAGGAAGATGTTCAAACTTGAACATTATACATCATTTTGAACGCGACGTGATTTTTTGCCTTGGTTTTTTTGTGTCACACATGTGGGAATGATGTCAACTTGTATTGTCACACAAAAAGTATTCAAAAAGAAAATTTTTTACATTTAAATCTGCTATATTCATTTCCGTACTCTTCACTCCATTCTATCGAACTATGTATTCTTTCTTCGATGGGTCGTTTAACAATTTAGGTTGCCAAAGTTGGATGTTGAATGAAATGAAAAAAATTTTGTGAGTCAAATTTATTACAATTTCTCCAATATATTACTCTAATCTCCAGTCTTTATATTTCAAATTCTCGAACATTTTTATAATGCAATTGAAAACAGAATATGCCTTTTCTCCTTGGCAAACACGATTCCATTATTTACCTATCAGAAAAATAATTATAATCTTTGTAGATAAACGATTATATTAAACTCACCAAAAAGTAATTTTATTATTTGTAAAAAAACAAATTCCCTTTTGTAATTATTGACTTTTTCATTATTTTATTTGGTCTCTAAATATGTTAAATTACCTTTTCTAACAAAACTTAACGTAACGCGTAAAAAATCTAAATCTCCTATTATCAAATTTATGTTGGGGGCTTTGCAACTATTTTGGGTAAAATCCATTTGTAGTAATTTTAAGGCTACCTATCTACAAAACCTTATATTTTGAAAATGTATTATGGTAACTTTATGAAACAGAAAATAAATAATATCTTAGTATTGATGATGATGTGTGAAGTGGATATGCTTGTGTAAAAAATAAAATACACAGATACTCTTGATATAAAGTCCCCGGGACTATGTTTTTCTTCTTACTATGGCTTTCTTATGGAGGTTTTTTATATCCAGGGTGATTGTTATAATAACGATGATGATGGAAATGACGATAATAACAATAATAACAGTAGTAATTAAGGTGGTAGCCATAGTGATAAGGATTATTCATTCTCTATTTATTAACACATATATAGCAAGAGCAATAATTAAAAAATATTTAAGTTGAGGATAATCATTCATTGCTATAGTAATTATTCCAACGTAAGGTAGAAATCTAATAAATTATTATAATAATAAAGTTAATGTTAGAATTAGAATTATTTATTACTAGTAGTAATATTGACATATTGATTACAATTATTATATTGATGTTTACCCATTAACTTTTCCAACTAAATGTTCTTTATGAATCCAGACCTGATTTTTGTTATATAAACCTCTATCATCCACTTGATTATTATCCCCTTTAGTTAAAATATATTGTTTACCTGATTGAACTCTAATTAAAAATTAATAATATATATATATAGTTAAATATTTGCAAAAATCATGAATTTTTTTTTTTGCAAATTGAAAAACATCAACTCACTCATCATGTAATTTTATTACTCTATGAACAATTGGCACTTCCCTCCCTGGAATCTTAAATACCACAATATCACCAACTTTCACTGGTTCATTTGGCATACTTAAAAATAATATATCTCCCCTGTAAAATGCTGGTTCCATACTACCACTAAATCATACACATATATAAATACGATATGACTTTAAAATGTATATAATGATTTTATTCATACCTCAAAACCACTACAATAGGGCTTTCACTATTAGTATAAAGTGATAAAGTTTTCCATAATATCAGAGCTGAACAAACTATCATTAAAAAATTTAAAATTTGTTGTGCAAACTAAAATAAAAATAATCAAATAATAATAATCAAAATTTAAAAAAGAATTCTTCCATTTCATATCATAATAATTTGTAAAAACGTTTTACCGTCCGTTTGCTCATTTCACGAAGAAACCTTATCTGCTCTTCAAACATTTTTAATTACCAGTATTATTTTTATATAAATTATTATTAATTTAGTTTTTCTAATTTCTCGATTTTAATTTTCAGCCAATAACAATTAAACGTGTCTTGTTTGTTACACGTAGTCCCAAAATATTGAATATGACCACTAATGTCGAATATTCCAAAACAAAGTTCCTTAGTATTAGCTCATCAGGCAACCGAATGACTTGCAGATAAAGTTCGTATCGTGAATAAATTGATCAACGGCTCCAAACTAATAATATAATGACGGAATGACGGAACAACATTCATCTTGGTCAGTTGACACCACCATTAAACTTCTTTATTATTATTATTTATAATATATATATTATATTATTAATCCTTTTGCAACCCAACACTCCCAAGTAAGTATGATTAAGTTTGTTTATATTATAAAGCTTAAAATTTTTTGTATGGAATTTCAATTTCCCAACTTTTTGCTGGTTGTTTCTATAAGAAATTAAAAAAAAACAGCATCAATATCAGAATTGAAATTGATGTTTTATTTATATCAGTTACTATTATTATTTCTGCCCATACACACTACCAATATCAGAGATTTTCTATTAAATAATATGATGATTGTATATTATAGCTATAAATGTAGTTCCTGTGATAATTTGAATGTGATACTGGTGGGGTTGATTTTTATCTTTGTTATCAGTATTTGCCTCAGATTAAATTATGATGAAAAAAGTTATTATATATATATAGCCTGAAAAGAATAAAAATTGTCAACAATTGGGATTGCATAACATCTAATATAATGATACTTTATCAATATGATCAATCTATCCATGTTAAATGGCCAGAATAGTTCAATGCATAATTAACAATCCAATAAACATATCTTTTATAGATTACACCAATTTTTGGATAATTAAAAATCCTAGATCACTGGATTTGGACCTGTGTTATGTAAGGTTGCTTGCCAAAACCTCTTAGTGACTGTCGAAACTCTGCCGAAATTCTAATAAACAATTAATGTGTAAAATTTGGATGATCTGCATCATAGTGAAATTTTATAATCATACCCTCGTTTGATACCCTTGCTGTGTAGTAGCCACCACCAAATTTGAGATATAACTTTTTTATCATATGTATCTGCTTTAAGAAAAATCTTAAAGCAGGTTGTTAATAAAACCGAAAATAATCTGACCCTTAAAGTCAAATTTTGCATTTATATTCATATACGTAAAATTTTGTTTGGCGCGTCCAATTGCAAGTATAAGTAGAAGTAAATGTCCAAATATTACATTATTATGAATATTTACAGATTTTTGATCGCTTAGGCATGTCTTTTTTATATAGTAAAATCATTTATTTTAAAAAGTAAATATAATAAATAAATAGATATTAAAATTTTTTCTTTACTATACATAAATAATGATTAGAATAATAAATAAGTACCAATAATAATTAAATTTAAAAGAGAAATTTATATACATAAATAAATAACAAATATATCTATTGAATGATTGATAAAACGTTCGTTAGAATATTTTGCAAGCTTCATAGATCTTGTCCTTAACGCTTGTACAAATTATTAAATAATTGATAAAACGTTCGTTAGTATATAGACTGTCTTGAAAGTTTTGAAGGTGCTTGCTAGCAAAGTTACAAATTTGTATTTATTGTTTGAAAATTAAAAGAGATCAACAGTTGATTTTCAAATTTAGAAAAAAAGAGATATATTACAGCAATTAGATCATTCTTTTTTTTTAATAATTATTTTGCAAATTTTTTAATGTTTTTTTTTTTTAATTTTTTTGTTTTTATTATTACTTTCATTGCAATACTTAGCTTCTAATTGATCAAGAAATGAACTTGATCGTTTTTCATACTTTTTAATTATAAGTTGTTGAAGTTCATCCTCACCTTCTTTAGTACCTAATAAATTTTGATTTAAACCTAATTCTTTTGCGTATTTCTTTGCTTCTTTAGCTTCTTTGTTAGCCTCCTTCTTACGTCTTTTTGTTGCGGTCTTGTTGGTTGATTCAGTAAATTTTTCATATAGTATAATTTCATTGGAAGCTACTGCTTCTTTAATAATATTACAAAAACGTGGTTCATCATCTATAGTTGCGCATAACACATCACTCATGATTAAGTCCATATCACCTTTGAATTTTTTATAAGCCTCAATAAGATCATCATGTTCTTCTTCAGATCCTATATATAGAGTAATAATAATAATTATTATTATTTAAATGTATAATACATATACGTAAATATATATTCTCTAATAAAATCAATATAAATAATATCATTCATTATATATTAAATTCACCTTGATATTTTCTTTTAAATTCTTCTATTGACTTTGCATTTACAACACCAGACCATAATTCTTTAAAATAAGCATCCCACCCTTCTTTTCCCAAATCTTCCAGACCTTCGAGACTATTATCTGTCTCACCAGTTTTATCATATCTTTCACGTTTTTTAGGATCAGAAAGTATTTCATATGCGAAACCAAGTGCTTGAAATTTACGCGTAGCTTCAGCACAAATTTCTTCAGATGATGTGGTGTGTTTATCAGGATGATATTGAAGTGCAAGTTTATGATATGCTTTTTTTATTTCCGCTGATGTCGCATTTGATGTAAGTGAGAAGAATGAGTACAAGTCTTCATGGTCGGATAATAGTTCAAAAAATGATTTTTCCGTCATTTTTGTTTTTACTATTTATTATATTATTATGTAAAAGTGTAATTATAATATTTATTTTAGTCGTGTGCAACATATCCTTATTCCTATAAATTTGAAAATTCGTGTCACATGACATGAAGCTTTTTTTTAAAATATAACGTTATTTTTGTAAACTCGAACTTTTGTTGTCAGAGTAAAATGAAAGTACTCCATTAAAGCTTTTTAATGAATACCTTTTCATACTGAAAGGTCTTCTCTACGTAAATTCAAAAACGGTATTACTTTTTCACTTCAAACCTCAGATTATTTCTCAATATCGCTTGATAGTAGTTGAGAAAGGGTAGAATACTATAAGCTTTCATATGGTTATTACTTTATGGGGGGTGTTAGTTTATAAGTTTTAGAGAGGTTCACGAAAAACTATTTTATAGAAATTTAATACCCATAAAGAATTTTATGTAGCAAAAAATTTAAAAAGAAATCAACAAAGTTTACAACCAAATCAAAATTTTTTATTGTTATTATATACATACTCGTAACTGATTTTATAACCAAAATAATATAATACATAAAAAAAAATAATAAATTAAAATAATAATCAATTATATATGTAAATCATGAACTGTTATTTTCTATGATAATGGTGATGGTGGCGGCGATGACAACGATGACGACGCTTCAGTACTAAGTAATGTCATTAAATTTTTTTTATTCTTTTGACGCAATTTTTCTATTTCTTCAGCTCCTCCTGTCTTTTTCAATTTATTTTCTGTTACAAGTGATCCAAGTTCGGCTTCAAACTCATCAATATGATTGGCTAAATCTCTTTCTCTTTGTTTTTCTACTTGTTCCAATGCCTTTAACCTTCTTTCCTGATCTGGTGCTATACCTTTAACCTCTTGAAGAACTGTCTTCAATCCTTCGAATCCTTCTTCTTGAGGTTCAACAAAGAATTCTTTTTTGGCTCTGGGAACATTTGCGACTTTAAGTATTTGTTCAAAGACTTCAGTCAATTTATTAATATCATTCATTAGATCCTCAACCAATTGCTCTTGGTGATTAAGGAATTTCTGTTCATCAACAATCAAATTCAACTCATCTTCCCATGACTTTCTCCACATTGGTGTAACTGATTTAAGATACTCTTGCAATGAGGAAAGCTCTTTTTGCACATTCATTGATTCATTTTTAACGTGCTGAATTGTTGTATCTTTAGGTTTACTCCTTCGTTGAATAACATCCAATTTCAGATTATCAATAAGGTCTTGAAGATCATCAACACTGGCAAGCAAGGCTCTTGTTTTACTATCCACTTTGGCTTTACCTGCTTCGATAAATGTTCTCGATGATGAAGCTTTTTTTGTTAGCGCTACTTTTTTAAAATTTTCTGTTCTGATTGATAATGTTTCAAGTGTTTTTTTAGAATTTTCTTGAAACTCAGCATAAACTTGTCGCATCACTCCTAAATCTCTTCGAAGCTCTTGTGCTTCTCTATACTGGCCTTTGATTTCATTCACAATTTTTAACACAAGCTCTTCTGTTACTTTTTTATCAGCAGAATCTTTCTGTTTACTCACATTCTCTAAAATTTTATTTGCCAATTGTGTAAAATGTGATTCACTCAGATGTAACGAGGATGGAGTATTTGCAACAATACCATCATGTCGTAATAATTTGTTATTTTCTGAAAATGATTTTTTTATTTCTCGAAATTCCTTGGTAAGTTCACCAATATTTTGATCAATGTTTTTCTTAATTTGTTCAAAGTCTTCAACATTTAAAGCCAACACCGAATCATTTTTCACTTCATTCAAATCTTCTAGTTCATACATTATTCCAACATTTGGATCTTTTATATAGATTTGAGGAAAATCATTCATTCCTGGATTATATTGAAATTTTTCAATGAATAATATTCTTAATGTTGGTATGCCAACATCTCCATCATATTGTATTTTCTTAACTTTGTTGCCTAATTGAAGAAATAATTTGATACTTTTTTTCTTTCCTTTCTCGTCTATAAAAAATTTTTTGTTAGAAGAATGAAAATAAACAAATAAAAAAACACTTTTTTAATTATTAAAATAATCTTTACCTGAAAATTTTGTATTATTTATAATTGGAGTATTTTTAATAATATTTGCATCTATATTTATTTATAAGAATATAAAAAATGTAATAACATTATTTTTTA